GTTATAGGTTTTATAGCTCAACTGAACCGTTTTATTGAAATCCATTCGATTCGGAAAATTTGCGTAAAAATCTCGAAAAAACACGACTTTTCCATTGGAAACACAAAAAAATTCCCATTAAATTTTTTATTTTTCATCATTTTCCAAAAAAATTTCCATTCATTCTCCGCAAAAAAAAATTTTTCGCCGTTTATCGAAACAAATCCCTCCGATATTCCAATCAAACTAAATCCAAAAAGACAATCATTTGCTATATTTCTAATTTCCGAAGACATTAAGACACTAAAATAATCTCGTCGAAAATTTTCTTCCACATGAAAATATTTCTCAAAATCTTTCAAAATTATTCTAAAACTTAAAAAATGCCCACCCTCCACCACCACTTCACTCAAAACTCTCGAAACAACCATTAAAAAATTAGAAATTAATTTTTTCCCACCCATTTAAATTAATCTTTTTTTTGCTGAAGAAAACCTTAAATTAATTTCAGGTGGCTACATAACACTCGGTTATCGTGGTACTTTCGCGTTTGGCCGTGACGGTCAAGCTGACGTCAAGTTTCGTAAGTTGCATCGTATTCTGGTGTGTGGTAAGGTGTCTCTGTGCCGAGAGGTATTCGGCGACACCCTAAACGAGAGCAGAGACCCGGACAGGGAGGGACACGAGAGATACACCTCACGACTCTACTTGAAACACCAGTGCTTAGAGAAGGTCACTACTTATATATATATAATAATAATATACATAACCATAAATATTGTATAATAATAATTATAATAATAAATAATACAATAATAATTATTATAATAATAAATAATACAATAATAATAATTATAATAATAATAAATACAATAACTATAATAATAATAATCATATCGTTTTGCTTCTTAATATCACCTCAACTGTCTTACCCTTACTCTACTATTACTACTAAACAGTATCAATACATACTGTAATAATAATAACAATAATAAGTAACAATAATAATAAATAAAAATGTAGTAATATAAATATAAATAAATATAAATTTTATAAATATAAAAAAATATATAAATAAATGTAAATATATATAATATATAAATAAATATAATATAAATATATAAAATATATAAATATAAATATACAAAATACATAAATATAAAAATAAATTAAAGAAATATAAATAAATAAATATAATAATAAATAATATAATAATAATAAATAATGGGTCAGGCTTGTGACACGATGGCCGAGAAAGGCTTCAAGCTGGTGGCGACGTGCTGCAGTGGGGCGAATGGCCTG